GCGCGAGGGCTCGGGGCGCTTCGCCGCCGTGCTGCGGAGAGGCAGCCGGATCGTCCCCTCCGCCGACTCCCAGTCCTGGATCCAGGACTGCGCCGGCGCCCCCGCGGAGGAAGAGGAGGGAGTGGGGGACGGGGGGACCCCGGGCCGGCGCGGCCGGCGCAGCCCGGGCGCAGAGTGCGCCCACGAGACGGAGGAGCGCGTCTACAGCGTGGTGGGCTGGATCCCCGCCGTCAGCACGCTGTACGGCCTGGGCACCGCCGCCTACTACGCCTCCGTCAACTGCTCCCACACCGCGCGGGAGAGGGCGCTCCTGTCCGCGGTCGACCTGGGCACCGACGCTCTCATCGCCGTGTCCGGGGGCACCGTGGGGATCGCGGGGTATGCCCTGGGCTCCGGCCTCAAGACGGGGGTGAAGGCGGGTATCAGGTACCTCCTGAACCGCATGAAGCAGGGGCAGGACCTCGTGTTCGAGCAGGACTACCGGACGCCGGCCTCCGCCGTCGACTAGCCCGTCTGAACCGAGCCGCCGGCGCTGCCTCTCCCAGCCTCCGTCTGTCTCCTGGCACGGGGGTGGCGGGACACACTTTCCAGCGGGAGGGACAGGAAGTCAGAAACAGCGCCCTGTACCACCGCACTGCAGGTGATCATGTTAGCAAACAACTCGTGTGCTGGGTTCGACCGACCGTGTGCTTTTCTCTCTGGCTGTGTAACAGCTGGCCATCTGGTGGGAGACCTGTAAAGCAGGCTGTATTGTAGATCCCTCTCCGTCTTCTCGGTAGCAAATTGCACGCTCTCAGACTTACCACATGCTGTACTGCATCTTTTTTTAATTGCATTAGGATTTTCTCTAGTTACTGCTGTCACTATCCTTCTCTGTTCCATCAATCTTCTAACTCAGTTGAATAAATGTTTGTGTTTATAGACCGTTGTGTGAAAAATGCTGCCTTATCTCTGCCCTCTCTCCTCTTTTTGAGTGCCACTGACACAGGGGTGAGTGGAAAACAGGAGAAATGGGGGGGTGGGAGGGTTGGGGAGTGGAAAGT